TCTAGTCCTCCAGCTTGGCAGGAGGAATCTATAAAGATCTGAGGGAAGAGAATAGCGCACAAGGAGGGAGGCCTGCTGGGAGCAAAATTCCTTCCTGATCTTTAAATATTGGTGAAGACTGCCCAAGTATGAATGTGTTAACAGTTGTTTTGATGACCAGTGCAGCTTGACATCACTTCCTGTAAAACTGTTACAAATGCTCATGCTTTTGAGAAGGAAATTGGCAGCAGATCTGTATGTGTAACCAAATTGCAGAACATTCACATCTTCTCCTGTTTGTTGCTCAGTTCAAATGTTTCTAATTAGCTTTAGTCTGTCTCCTAACTCTGGCAAGAGACTAGCTGCATTGCCACTCTGACAGAGGCAAAGCAACAGATGCTTAAATGAGATACAAACTGTTGTGCATCTGGCCAGTCATTTTAATTTAGAGCTGGAAGCCATGTTACCAGCACAGCCGATCTGTAATGTGTTCTGGATCTCTTTTAGGATTTTGAATACAACCCTATTTGAAAGCTGGGAGTTGATTGGTCCTTATCCTTCATGGTGGCTATTCAACGGGCTTTTGATAACCTTGCAGATGTTGCATATCATCTGGTCTTATCTCATCATTCGCACTGCCTACAAGGCCCTCATGCGGGGAAAGGTAAGATTCTGGTGATAGTTTTGGGTCCTCTTTCCTACAAGCCCTGTTAAGCAATCATGAGAAACTGGGCTCTTCAGTTAGGGCTGGTACTAGTTCTCAAGGAGCTTGCATCAGGAGTGCTTTGTAGAATGGTGGTTTTTTCACCTTGGTTGCTCTGCAGACTTGAGTTGCCAGGTGTATGCAAAGGCAGGGATGCTTTCTTCTCTGTTCTGGTCATGCAGGGAAATAACACCATTTTCCAGTATGTTCAGATGTTGTAATAATAGTGCTGATGACAGACTTGTTACGTACTTTGGACTTTAAGGTAGCAGTCGGCTCTTTTTTGAACAATCATACAGGATGTTTTCCAACTTTCCAACTTCAGCTGGTTCTTGGGATGTGATGAGGGTTATGCATCTTCCACTTGTTAGCACTAACACAGGTTTCTCGCTGTCAGTGCAGGCCAGACATTGAGCCTGCAGCATGCAGAGGAGAAAGGGTTATCAGAAATGTAGTAGAGTTTGCTGGTTGTCACGGGCTAATGGGGTGCAGTCTCGCCCAGTGTAGGAACTAACTTGACACCCAGCCTACCCATCAAGAGAAGCCATTTCCTTTGCAGCTACCAGAGAGCTACAGTGGATTTCATAGCACAAATGCTTTTTCTTTACCAGGTATTTGGTATTCTGATCGGAGTTTCTCTTATGACTCTACTTTTTGTGTTTGACTTCTTAGCTGCCCCTACGCTTGGAATGTAACCTTGAAAAATATTTATATCATAGTTGTCTGTGGCAGTGATGGTGTGGGGAAGGCATGTTTCAGAGTATGCACAAGATCTTTTTCATCTGTTCCCCACAGCTGCTACTGCAAATGTCTTATTTTCTGGGTCTGCAGCTGTTTCTGTATCCTGGGGTCTACATCTTTTTCCTTTCCTTGGTTATCTCCTGTCCAGGTGACCTAGCCAGAGAAAGGACTGTAAGCTCTGTCTTCTTCATTCTTTTCTCCTTTTCTCTGTGCCAGATTGGAGCTGGACAGTTTCATCCTTTGCATGTAAGTGTGGTCTGTGCTTCTGTTTGTTCACTGAAACACATCTGTGCCTGTTTCAAGGCTAAGACAAAAGCAAAGCTATGGTCTTGAGGCTTTAGATGGCTGGTGCCTTCTCTTAAAGTGTTTCTCTCCCTGGTTGATACAGTGCTGGTTCTGACAGTATGCTGAAATGCAGGTTTTTCCAAAGGTCAAGGCAGTGTCCTGGGGTTTGTTCTTAATCTACTGTCAGCTGGCTGCATGACCTTCACCTTTCTGCTTTTATACGCCCACAGAGATTCTGATATCTGTCTTTAGTGTTCATTAACACTGTGCTGAGTGGAAGAGGACAGGAGAAATGCTATGCTTTTTGCGAAAAGGAGAAGAAGTCACTTGTCCCCCAAATAATGGGAAAAATTTTGAGGTATTTCTGCTTGCTTCCAGTGACTCTGAACTTCCAGACATATTAGGAGAGTGGGGAAGGATATAAAAAGTTCTGGCAACAGACAGAAGCCAGGACATCCAGCAGGCCTGTCAAAACCAATCCTGGAGATCATTAACTTTACCTGGCTTTCTGCCAGATTTTCCCTTGAGTTCAAAAACTTCCTGCCTGGTGCTGTTGGAAAGCCCTAACCCTGACTCAAAGCAAGCAGAGTAGAATGAAATCCTTGGAAAGGTGCTAGCCGCAAAGTGCTTGCACATTGAGTAAATGAGAGCTATTAGTTGCAGAGGCAGAAGTGTGGAGAGCCTGCCTTGGGGTGTGCGAAGCACGGGCCATTCACGCAGTCACTGCTCAGCACTGTTGAGTTTATGGTTCTGGCACCCCGCCACCAACCAAGGTGCTTGTTTGCTGTTAGGGCCGGGCTTGTGATCTGTTCCCTTCACCTTCTGGTGCGGTCGGCTCTGCAGTGCTGGTACAGTGCCCTCCTGTGGCACTCGGAGCAGCTGGCAGCAACGTGCGCCTGGATCTGCTTCCAAAGGTTCAAAATCCCACGTACAAATCAAATTCAGCTGGATTTGCAGTCAGTCTTTTAACTAAAGGCATAACTCTGTAAAGCAGATCTAGATCTCTGGGCTGAGATGCTCCTTCTGTTCCTGACGGGTGTTTGCTGGATTAGATAGTTGTCTTTGTTCTATAGCCCTGTCCAAACTGGCTTTTGCTCATAAATGAGTTCTTGTGTATGAACTGCAAGCTGTGAAAATGGGAGGCACTTTGTGCAAACAGTAATGTGGTAAATATAGCTGGTTATTTTCTAAAATATCAAAGCTGCTCCCTGTAGGACAAAAAGTTCTCTCTAAAACTGATATATACATGTTTTTTTATTCATCATACCCATGGATGATTATGGTGTGAGAAGTTTTTTGATTCAAAACAAATTTGTTGTTTGGAAGAGCAGTCTTTAAGCAATCTAGAATGCAGCTCTTGGAAGACAAGAACAACCAAAGATCTGTAGTGTCCTCTGATCTGGTGAGAGCAAAAAAAGTATAGTGCTTTCACAGATGTACAGAGTTATTTGGAAAATGGAACTCGTATTTACAAATTGTCATTTTCAGTGTCTGTGTCTTGCATTCTGTATGTGATGCCAGGTTCCTCCTTGTGAGTTTGAAGTGATTCAGAATCAAATGTAGAAGCTAAATGTAACTGACTGAAGCTGGTTAATCACATGGGCGCAACCTTCTAACTACTGTTTTCTGTGAATTTTTCAACTCCCCTTCTCCCCTTTCCCCTACAAAATTTCATTTGAAATGTTTAGGTATCAAAAGATGACCGCAGTGATGTAGAGAGCAGCTCTGAAGAGGAGGATGTGACTTCCAACAGCACAAAAGGAGTTTTCAGCACTTCAAGTAACGGCTCCAACCGCATTAATGGCCATGTGGCTAGTGGCCAGTGGACAGAAGAGGAGTAAGGCTGTGGGTTGGCCTTGAGCAGACACGAACTTATCTTTAAATATCTAGATGTGTTGAGCTCCACATTCCCAAGTGATCTTTAATCAAGATACCCCTTCCCCAGAAACCTCCAGCAAATCTGAAATGGGCACAATCCAGACCAGTCAGAGGCTTTGCACAACAGAAGGGATAAAGCCAATGACTAGGGCAAAAACAAAGCTGCAGATTTCACTTTAAGCCATTTTGTACTTAAATCTTAGTCCCATGGATATTTGCAGAGGTGTCTTTGTTTTGTGACAAACTGGTTTTTACTAGGATCAACTCAAGGTGGAACAAGTTTGGACTAGGCTGGCTGCCGACCACAGGAGGGTTACGGTGCCATTTCAGTGATGGTTTGCTCCAGAGCAGGTTCAGCATATCCCCTTGATCTACTCCAGAAGCCACTTAAAGAGCATGGAGAACGCAGGGTCCCGTGGTTCCGTGTCCAAGCTACCCTGATTGTAGCAGAGACTCTTTCTCAGTCCTTCTGTGAGCACTCTGGACTGCAGCCAAGCTTTGAACTGGACTGCGCTACACCAGAACCGTTGTTCTAACTTACCATCGGGGTGCTATATGCTAAGGAGGTTATAGCTTCTCTCTCTGCTGTCACGAGGGACCAGGCCAGCGTTTGCTGCCTATTTTGGTGCTGCAAGCCCCTCTGAAGTCTTGACTACAGCCTTCTGAAAAGGGGGAGGGGGGGTTGTTTATTGCCCCTAAGACAACTGTCACAATACATGCCTTTTAAATTTTTTTTTTTTTTGTTCCTGTTGCAAGTTGTGGTTTTGAAGATGTTTCTAGACCTACTGGATGCGGTTGGCTAAGCTAGGACTTGAGGGTGGACCAGTACTGCTGGGCTGTGTTTAACTTTCCACAAAATAAGATGTTTCAGTCCTGCCTGTCTGTACTCTTAAGACAGAAGTGAATGTTGCTGCTCTCGTTTTGCAACTGTGTGGAGGAGTCACCAGGCTGGAAAGGCAGCCACACTGTGGGCTTTGCTTCTTTTTTTTGTTCGTTTGTTTTTTTTACTCAATGGTACTTGGGGGCAATGGAAGATCTGTGTGTCAATCATGAGCAGAATTTTGGAAAATTCCTGAGTTGTTAGCATTTTATACCATTGTTTACTCTTCTCTCTGATTAAAAGATGCTTCAGAAACTTGTTTGACATGTTTCATCTTGAGAAAATAAAATCAAGGAGACCGTATGCCCCTTTTCTGTAATTCTGAGCAGGGGGACTGCTGCCTGACTGCTGCCCCTGAGCAGCACTTTTTTTAAGATGAAAGGGGAACTGTTCGACGCTCTTTGGGGCACACACCACGCAGCACCGCACTTTGGGTGTTTTCACAGGGCTTTTATTGGGCTCCATCCCCTCTCCCGGCCTGCGGAGGCCCTGGGAACCGAGCCGGGAAACGCGGGGCCGGGTCCCAGGCCGCCCTCAGCTCTCGGAGCCGGTCACGGCCTGCCGTTCCCGGCGGCGCTGGAGGAGTCGGTAGGCGCGGACGCCGCACAGGTACCCGCCGTAGACCGTCAGCAGCATCATGGAACCGGAGAAGGCCTTGTAGCCGAAGTCGGCCAACTGCTTACCGGATACCATGGTTGAGCCTGCAACACAAGGCGGCGGTCAACGGGGCCGGGAGCGATCCCTCCCCGCTCCCCTCCCGCCCTTCCCCATTCCCGTACCTGCGCCCTCGGGCTCCGCTACCACCGGCACGCCGTTCCGCTGCGGTGCGCTTCCGCCTAACGCCCCGCCCTCCCTATGTCACGTGGGAGCTGGGGGCGGATACCGCCGCGCTGCTTGCTGGGACGTGTAGTCCGCAGAGGCGGGAAGGTCAAGGCGGGAACTGCGGCGCCCCCTCGAGGCGGGAGGGGGGGGCGGCGCCGTCGCTGTTTCACCTCAGGCGTCGCGTCAGGCGCTCGGCGCCCACCGCAGCCTCCCGGGCCATGGCAGCCCCGGGCTGCCGCCCCCCGCCTCTGCAGGCACCTTCCCCAGGGGCCCGCTCTCCTCAGCACCTCCCTTGATCCTGATTTTTCTCAGCTGTGCCCTTTCCGCCGTGAGGCACACACCACAGGCTGCCCTGCAGGAGGTTGAGGCGCCAGCAGCCCTGAGGGGATTTGTCTTCAGCTGTACACGGGATGGAGTAAAGGCCGCGCAAGTCTCGCTCCGCCACTGAGGCGTTCGGAGGCCTCGACACCCTTCCTGAGGGCCCAGCCTGTGCTCACAGCTGGAGATCCTCCTTCAAGAGGATTTTAGGAGGCCATCTCCTCCAAAAGCACTAGGGCAGCTGCTGGCACCGAGCGGTGCTCTCCTCCCAGAGCTCCTTGCTAGCATTTGAATACTGCTGCCACAGCACTGCTCTGCTCTGAGGGCTCTGTCAAGCACTGAGGCTGCAAGTCACCCCCCCACCTCGTCCTTTTCCCCAGGCCGCTGCACAGCAGCAGCTCCCGAGGCTGCAGAGTCCTGCAGTGCCTGGATGTGCTGAGGCTGCAGAACATAACTCCAAATGGCAAAGGGAAGACTTTTTATAGCTCATGAACTCCAGCACTAGTGCAAGGCAGGGGGGGATCTAAAAGCAAGAGACTTGTGCGCCGGTCAGCCCCAGGTGAGACTTGGGACCTTCAGCAAATGCTGGGAGAGCCTGCAGGGGCTCGGGCACTGCCAGCAGCACAGAGTGTCAAAGAAACCCACAGGAGGAGGGAGGCACAAAGCACTTCCACAGCAGGGGAGCTAACGGCTAAATGCAAGTCCAAAACACAATTCTGGATCCTGCTGCAGCTCCAGGCAGGTGCTGGCAAGAGTTTAGCAAGCCAAGGTGGGAGACTGCAATGTGACGAGGGAGGAGAGCTCAGAGACCCTCTCTCCTATATGCACCTCGTCCAAATACTTGAGCTGGGATTCCTGAAGCACTTCAAGACAAAGGGAACTAGAAGTTGTGCCAGCCCTACAGGAACATGCTGGACTTCCTTTATCCTCCCTCCAACCTCAGTAAAGTTCCTCATTAGAGGAAGCCGATGCTGGCTACTTTCCGTACGATAGCTCAGTTGAATTTAAAGGTCGTAGGGTGCCTAGCGAGAAAGTGTGTCTAATAAAAGGCACAGAAACAACTGCAGCGCCAGCAGATTAAATTCCCCTAGCAAGAGGCTGAGCGGAGGGCTAATAGTCCTGGAAAGGTCACTCACTACGAGCTGCATTTCAAAGAAAGACAGGGACAAGGCAAGTCTGGGAAAAGCAGTTGGGAAAGAGATGAATAAAACAACACAGCATGTCCCAAGAAGCCAAGACATCAAAGAAGGGAAGGCCTGGGGTACATGGGGCACAGTGGGGTCCTGGCCCAGCTCCTGCAGGCCCCAGGTAGAAGAGTTAGGATTCTGTGCCCAGTTCAACACTGCAGTCTCAACCCTCTTGGGTCCTACAGCCAAACTTCAACACTGGAACCGCTGCTGAGAAAAAGCAAGTGGGACACTATGTTATGTTGTGACTGAACAGTGACCTGCGGGGGCATTCTTGCTGTTTCTGGGACAGCGCACAAGGGTGCAAAGCCAGGAGGGAACTGACAGTGCCCTGTTCTGCACTCTTAGCAAGTCCAGCAGGCACCAACCCAAAGACAATGATGCACTGGAGCCACAGAGCAAAGAGCACGTCTCCCCTCTCTTCTCCAAGTTTATTATTATTTTAAACATTCATAAAGTACACTGACAGTCAGAGACCCAGCAGCACTAGGACTTGGAACGGGGGCAGACAGCGAGACTTGCAGCAGCTCTGCCCTGCCAGCCCAGACAGGGATCAGTGAACCGCTGGACACGCTGGCCTGAGCAAACATGAGTGCAGTGAGCCAGCTTCAGAGGACCAGAGAGGCACGTGGTACCTGGCTGGACAAGGGGCACGTTTCAAAGGCACAGCACGAAGCATGAGACCTCTGTCCTCTCCTGTGATGTTGGAGGTCTCCTTGTACCTCTTGTGCATCACATGTCCATTGCCGCCCCGCGTGCTAGTGGGCAGTTTCTAGCACCCTCACAGGAGGGGCAGCAGGGAAAGTAAGTGTGGAACCTGCTTTCTCAGCTTCTAGAAAGCCACACATAGAAGCAAAGACCGTGCTAAGGCACAGGCTGGAGCAAGCCAGAGAGAAGGCAAAAAGCTGCTGCAGATCATTCGTCTAAAAGCAACATGACCCAACTGCTTTGTCAGGTACACTGACAAGGGTTACACAGCCTGCCAGCTGCTAAGAAAGACTGGGGCAGTTGGTCCCTGCATTGCCAAAGCCAGCCAGAGGACAAACCGATATGAGGGAAAAAAGCTGTCCAGGGACAGTCAGGGGGCATGGAATTAGCACAGGCAAATCTGTGACAACAGGGGAGTTCCCTGGGTGCAGAGGCCAGGTTTGATTGCAAGAGCAAAAAAATCTAAATAAACAGGCTCTGAAGTCTCACTCTGGAGCTGCCCTCACACACAAAGCACCAGCCGCACCATTCGGCAGGAGCAGCTGGTGGTGGCTGGGGAAGCAGCATATGGCAGGGTGGCAAAGAATGCTATTTTCTGTGCTAGTGCTTCTTAGAAAGAAGAGCGATTCTCAGCCCGTATGAAAGTCCTGAGGAGCTTCACTCACCCTGGTGGAGCCTGGCAGGGAACTGTGCCCTCTCCACAAGACAGTTAAGCCAAAAGCAACAGCAGCAAGCAGGAAAGGGCTGATATCATGCAAAGTGGCCCCACGCGGCTAATAGCAAAGCTTGTCCTCCCAGGCAGTGCCTCCTGCACGGCCGGTATTGATCAAGATGATCTCTGATGGCAGAGACCCTCCGAGAACTGAATCCATCATGGCAAGAGAAAGTGAAAGGAGGAAGACGCTCAGCCCCACTCAGGGCAGACCCTAGACAGCAGCAGAAGCTAAATGAGCCCTTCAAAGAGAGAGGGAGATCAGCAGGTACCTCTGTGCAGATGCCAGGCTTAGGCTGGCAGTGTCCAGGGCTGAGAAGGGGAACCTCTGCCCTTCCAGCACTCTGCAAAGGCTCCCAGGAAATCTGGACTCCTTGCAAAGCTGTAGCAGCAGAGCAAGTTGGTGTGGGCAGGAGCTCTCCGCTCATCTCGGCAGGACCACTGGTTTTGCAGGCAGAGCCCGCTTACATGTGCTCAGGGTGGTTCTGGAGACACTTGATGATATCAGTAACAGGTTTGCCCTTGTAGCAGATCTGATACACAGCTGTGAAGAGGGGGAACCTGTGGGCAGATGAACAAAGTCACCCCTTGCCCTGTCACCACAGCTAGCAGAGTTAGAGCACCTCAACTTCTGTTGTGACATGCAGGACCACTGGGCAGGAGCAGGTGGGACAGTGGCATGGTACCTCATCCAACAGGCCATTCCTGCCCAGCTAGTTTGATATGGGCAGTGCAGAGATTGACCTGAACAGCAGAGACACTAAGGGTGGGTTTCCCCTCCTGCAGTTGCAGGAAAGATCCCAGCCCCACCCCAAAAGAGCAGACAAGAGAGATGACAGCACTCACTTCTCCACTGCGTTCTTGCTTTTAAGGATGCGATGCAGCTCAGCAGATGTCGGGGGACCTTGCAGCTTCTGCCCATTCAACAGCTCCTTCTCCAGCTGCTCGATAGACTGAAACAACCCAACAGTGAAGGAGCTGGACCATGCAACCCCATCTGCTGCCCCACATTCCTTCCCTGGAACCAGGCTGCGGCACTGGGCGAGTGAAGGCAGGATACCATGGTGCTAACTGGGTTCACCTCCCTGCCTGCTCGGCAGGCTGATGCAGATATCAATGTTGCCTGCTCCCCACTCTGCTTACCTTCCCAGTCTTGGCAAAAGCCTCAGCCACCTTGCGGTTGCGGCCACCATAGCAGGTAGTGATGAGGTCAGCGATCCCACAGCTCTCCAAGAAAGTGGAGGAGGTGACAGGGCCCTTACAGAAGAGTTTGGCAAAGCCAATCATCTCCATCAGTCCCAGACGAATCACGGCAGCCTTCGTGTTGTCTCCATAGCCAAGCCCATCACAGAAACCAGCTCCTACAGCCACAACGTTCTGGAAAACAACAGCAGTGTGGAGGGATCTGTTCCCAACGGAGCTCGGGACTTTGCTGTGTCTGTGACCTGCCTATGTAATCCCAAGCACAGGCTTCTGCCTGCCCCTGCCTATGCCGATGATCATCATCCCTCCAAGCAGCTGAACAGGACACATCCGCAGTTCCCTCCAACATCTGGCCTTTGACCCAACTGTCTCAGTGGGCCACAGTGCAATATCCAGTGGGCTTCATTCAACTGGCAGCCTCCTCCCCAGAGCTCCCTGCAGAGCCCTAGAGAACCGCAGGCTCTGCTAACCAAGACCTGCAAACCCCGGTGAGTGGCTCACCCACCTTGAGAGCCCCACAGATCTCTACAGTGTCAGCCTCCTGTACCACCGTCACCCGGAAGTTTGGTGTCTGCATCAGATCCTTCAGCGTCTGCCCATGCTGCATGTTCTTGCAGCCTGATGAGACAAAGGGAGAAGGAGGAAGGTGATGGGGGCAGACACTAAGTTAGGACTCTGCTGCTTTCCTGCCCAGTGGTGCGTTCCTACAGCACAGCCCTTGCAGCTAGTGCAGCAGCAGGAACCTATTGCCCATCTGATGGACGTGGCTAAACATTTGCAGGTTCACAAAGTGCCAAGCACACATTGCCTGGCAGATAAGCAAGGTTCAACCTTGGAATTCCCACAAGATGGGGACAATCCCTGCCGCTGTGTCAAGCAAGACAGAAATGATATGCCCAGTAGATTAGAGGCATCTTCAAAGGTTGCAAATTTGGGTTTGGAGACTGCTGTTCTCCCTGTACCTGCAGTGTCCTGCATGAGAGCATTTCTGTGTGCTCACAGCGATAGCATGCTCTGCTTATACCCCTCCAGTCTCTGTGGCCTCCTGCCCAGCATGTTTGCTTTTGTTTAAAATACACTTTGAATCCCACAACTTCTAACCCAGCAAACTGTTCTGTTGGTTTTGGCTGCTGTGCATGATTCACAAACAGTGTAGAGGATGTTAGGAACAGTCATCAAATGAACTTTCAAGCAGCCCGGGCTGGCAATAACATGAGATCCAGGTGAGCGTCCCTTGAAGCCCAAGGAAATGAAGGTGGGAACTCTATTTCCTAAAGGGTCTCTTAGCATCCACCCCGTTCATTTGTGCCAGGCAGACTGCCTGATGCTCAGAGTCCATGCTGGCAGGAGCTTTTAGACACACAACTCTGTTCTTAATGAAGCGAGCAATCACATCGTAAACCCTGTGAATGAGTTCATCCAGCTCCTAAGGAGTCTCACTGCCTCCACAGGGAAAAAGGGCCAGCTCACCCTAGGCAGCAGTAGCTTAAGCTGCACCATGCTCACCCCTTTGCCTCTTCCTGCTTGTCAGAAATGAAGGCTGCTAATGAGGAGGGTTGCTGGCTCCTTACCGATGGTTGTTTCACAGAACTTCTCTTCTGCCACTTCACTAGCAATGTTGGCCCCCATGAGGACGCTTATCTCTATTCCCAGTTTCTCATGGATAATGTCTGAGATCAGCCTCAGCCCATCTGGTCCTTCATCCACCCCCTGGGAGACAACCAGGGACAGAGATGAGCACCTGCTCCCTCAGAGACCTGGCACCACCTGCCCCAATCCTGTCATTGCCTGTGCTGCAATGCTCCAACTCTCATCCCAACAGCCCCCCCAGTGCTCAGCTGCACCCCACTCCTCACAGCACTTGAGATCCCCCACATTCCCTCACCCTTCTCCTCCACCAATACACCTCTATATCCCCATGAAGGCTCTGCCCCCACTTCCCACTCTCCCCATGCTCCCCCATAACCCAGGAGCCCAGTTTCTGCTCCAAAACCCCACGATTCCCTTTGCAGCCTCTTCAAGTCAGGCTACTTCCAGCTAAACCCCCTTAGCCCAGTGCCCCAGCAAACTGCCCAGGGAAGCACCCCTCCTGCTCACACCTTGATGAGCGACACCCCGACAGCATCTTTCTTCACATGGCCCTTGAGCTGGTCGCAGACTTTGCCGATAAACTGATGGGGAACCACGAACAGGAGGATGTCAGCCCCAGCACAGGCTTTCAGCAGGTCTGGCTCTGCTACCTGGAGAATATGATTGTCATCAGGAAGTTGTATCTGTAGTTGTGCAGTGAGTGTGTCCTGAATCCAGGACAAGGGGAGCAGGGGCTTGAGAGTAACTGCTGGGGGCTTCCCTGTAAGGGAAGGAAGGGCACAAAGTCACTGCCCTGAGGTCCCCTTCCAGGGCTGGCAGGGCAGAGGGGCTGGAGCAGAGCAGGACGAAAGCAGCCTGAGCTGGTCTCACGACAAGCAGCGCAAAGAGCCGGGGTCATTCTGGGGACCTCAGCAGGCCAGTGCCAGCCGTGGGGCAGCAGGACCCACAGGCTCTCTGCACGCTGCCGATGCCAACTCGGAGGCAGCCACATGGCTTCAAGCCCAGCCTGTGGGATACCAGAGCGGGGGGCAAAGGTGGGCAGCGAGAGCAGCCAGGGCTGCAGCTCGTCCAAGCACAGATCAAGGTCACTGGGAGAGCGTAACTGAGTCCTGTGCAGCCCGGTGCATCCCCTCCCTACCTTCGCACACCCGGTGCCCAGGGCACCAGAGCTCCAGCAGCTCCCGGCAGAGCTATTTATTACCTCTCACCAGAGAGAGCCCGGCTGTCGGCACCGGACCTTGGGCTCAAAGCAGAGACGCCGCCAGCAGGCCACACTCACCACGTTGGGGGGCAGCTTGTACCCTGGCAAGTACTTCACATTTTCGTGCTCCGTGTTGATGATGTCAGTGAGCCGCCGGCCCCCCACCTCCTCCTCCAGCACCCACATGTTCACCTGGTTCTCGAAGGTGCTCAGCCGCGCCGCATTGGTGCCAGCGATCTTGGCTATGACCGAGCCCCTGTGTGGGCAGAGCAGAGCTGTGGGCAGCGGGCACTCAAGCCGCTGGCACCAGTAAGCCCAGTGCACAACAGGTCACCAGGGGTCCTGGTGAAACGGGAACAAGCTTGCACCGGGTACCATGGGGCACCGGTGGGAGGACAGGGACCGCGCCGTGGCTCGAAGAGGGGACCCGGGTGTGCGGGCAGCAGGCGCTCACCAGTTGCCAGAACCCACGACGCAGACTTTCTTGCCACCCATGGTGCGGGGAGCCAGGGCACTGCGTAGCGCTGACCCCACCGGTGGTATTTCAAGCCCGCCCGGAGCAGGGGCGGCCCCGGCCCGCCTCCGGCTCCGCCTCGCCCCCGGGGGGAACCGGGCACCGGTGGCAGAGGCCGGCCGCTTCCCCAGGCACAGCCGGTGCTCGCAGCAAGGTGGGCGGCAATGCGGGGTTGCACTGCAGGTGCAGATTAGTCCCCTGAAGCAAAGGTAAAATAGCTCAGATCTCAAGTCTCAGCAGAGCCGGGAGTCGTGACTGTAGAGCCTCTTCCCCTTTTTCTGCATAAAAGCATTTTATTCTCCCCCTCTTCGTAAGAAGTGCCATTTTCCCCTCACAAGTAAAGAAATATGAACCATCTGCTTGCAGACCCAGGGCACAGCCTTAAGCAGCAGCACTAACTGCCTGACCTTAAGCAAACTGCCCTTTCTTCTATACACAGAGGATCTCTTTCCCTTGCAGCGAGGGCTTACAGGTTTTCTGTAAAGCACTGTATTTCTACTTTTATAAACAAGGCAGGGTGAAGAAAGTAATGCCCCTTTTGCATAGTGTTAAACCCTTATATGTAAACTTTAATACCGTTTCTTCAAAATTATGCCTGACTCCCATGGGGCTTGTAACAGGCTGTCACAATTCTGCAAGGCAGCAGAATGTGGAAAGTGGGCTGCTTAGATTTAATCAGCAGCTTGGCCACTGGATTTCCAGTTTTGCTCAAGTTACTTTGCTTATTTACCACAAAAGCACTTTGCAGAGGCTTACCAGACTCTGCAAGCTAGGAGATCCTTACATGAAAGGCTCTCTATAAAAGGCCAAAATATGAAGAATATTTTCTCTCCAGTCTCTTAACCCACTTGGCTTTGTTATTAAAAAAAAAAAAAAAAAAAAAAAAAGTAGACATAATCCTGTCCCTTCCCAGGCAAGTAAATGAAGTGTCATCCACTAAGGCAGCTGCTGAAAGAAAGCATGCTGTCAGCACAGAAGGAGGGAGGACAGCTTCCTTCGCAGGAGGCTTTTATTAAAACTGGGTGACGTCTACAAGGATACAGTACAAAAAAAAAAATTTGGTCCATGGAAAAAACCGTAATATTCAGTTAAGAAAAGCAGTTATTCTGCAACAGCTATGTTTGCCTACGCAGTACTCAGCATCCTTCATGTGCGATTACCCTGAGGAGTCAGTGGGCTGCTTCATCAGCACAAAGACCTTCACCCCAGTACCACAGAGGAGCCATTTCATAAGGGGGCAAGGAGAAGGGAAGTCGAGAGTCTATTACTCACAGACATGTAGTAACACAGACACAAGGAGTAGGGCCACCCAGGCTCCCAAATTCATAGCAACCTTCCCAACCACACCAAAGCCAGGTGCAGGGATGAGAGGTGTTCGTCCATAACATGACTTTGCAGCTATTCCAAGAGAATATGACCAACTTTCAAGTCCATTTGCATTACAGTCCCAAGCAGAAATACTGAGATCCAGGTTAAGAGAAGCCATTCTCTTACACCTGGCCACTAGTTCACTAGTAATTCCTTCCATGAAGAGGCATCTGGGCTGCTACTCCCCATAGTAGAGAAAAATCTACTTGTACATTCCTGAACCATGCTGGGCCTTATGGCAGCCCCAGAACCTAAAACTTGACTAAAAACCACAGGAGCTTCAGCATGGAAACACCTGCTAACTTGTATATGCTTGCAGCTATGTCTGCTCCCAAGGACTGTCCTGTTACGTCCTCAGGTCTACACGAAGGAGCCTCTGGTCCCCATAGTAATTGACACAGGATAACTGTCCCAAAGGAATGAGCCTACAACGCTGCGCCCCTGCACAATTCCACCAGGCATTTGCTGCATCCCCTCTCCCTGCTACAGGGAAAACAGCGAGATGGCTTGCTGGAACCGCAAGTGTAGGTCTTTTGAAGTGCAGAGAAGTCCCACCACTCCAATGCTTCCACACCCCTGCAGTAAGCCAATGCCTCATCTCCCCTGTGATCCCAGCCTAGGACAGTCTGTCAAAGAACATGAAGGGAAAAGGGCAGGGAAAAAGGGACAAGGGAAGAAGCAATTCTCTACACAGTTCAGTAACTTCCCCAAGGAGGAGAGTGACCTATGAGGCAGCCCAGTGCAGCAGCACCCTCCGAGCGAGGGAGTAAGGGCAGGGAGGTATGTCAGCTCATGGCATCCTGCCCAATACATCTCCTGGCACCTTGCTATAAAACGAGGCAGGGAAGACACTAGCCACAGAACCCCACGCTTACAGCAGATCCAGGCTTCCCAGACCCAGGTCTCACGTGTGCCACAACTAGATGCTAGTTGGCGAGGAATGGGCTGTGGTTTCTGAACTTGAGAAAGGCTCCAAGTCAGCAGTCATACTGGCTACTGGGGACACTACAGGCAGTGCGGAGTCAAGGGGAGGCTCTCGGAAGCCTTGGGACTGACAAGGCAACAGTCAGGAAGAAAACCAGGTAGAAATGTGCTCGTTGGAGCCTGTCTTGCTTGCCACACCCCAGAAGACCCCAGGTGTCCTGGAGTTGTCCCAACAGGGGCAATGCCAGGATGAATAATGATGCGGGCCTCGCTGCCGGAGTGGGATTATGTGAGCCTTAACAGTGTACTCTGCAGCTCTCTGTCTCCACAAATAGCTGTGATGCCTTCTGGTTGGGGAGGAGCGGAGCAGCCTATGTGTTACGGATTCCCAGGGCCTGCTCCAATTCCTGCCGTCTTTGCTGCACCTGCAAGAGAAGCCAGAGTCACAGCACTGACATACTTAGATGGTGCAGCACCACAGCATCCAAGTAACACAGGATCCAGCTGGAAAAGGGTGAACTCAAACTGGGACCAAGACGCATCAGCAGTGTCTGCAAGTGAAGCTTAGCACTCCCGCTTTCCACTGGCAGCGTCTGTTCCCAAGGAGTGACAGGTACTCCGAGCCACTGGGTATGGAGGGGGACCCCTGCTCAGGGATGCTCACCTTCGAGTAGAAGTATCTGCACACAGCTTCCTGAGCCCACGGCTGGAAGTAGAACTCAGCTCTACGCTCCTCTTCGGGATTCCCAACAACATCAGTCATTGTCTGGAGAGCACAAAGGACGAAACAGTTCAGGGAGTGCAAAAGCTCTGGCTGTGCTGAGCAATCCCACACTCCCTCCCCCTTCCTCAAAGAAATTTCAGTACAGTCAGGTCAGGTTCTTACACTCGACTCCAATTCTAGTCTTGCTTTCTGAGCAGGAAATTGCCTCTCTCTTTCTCTGTGGGAGCTGGTTATAATGAGGGAAGCGTGTGACTAGATCCACCTTCTACACAAGACAAAGCTTTTACCTTTAAATCCCGGCACTGGGACTGTAGCCAATCGTTGATGAAGCCCTGAGGATCTCGGGCAAAGCTCAGCATGAACTCGCGCTGGGTCTTCAGCTGGTTAATTGTCTCTATTGTTTCATGAATCTGAAGGAGATAAGCACAGCAACTAAACTGCTGAAATAGGGGAAAAAGTCAGACAGAAACATCAAGAGACCCAACACGTGAAGGCAAATTCTTATACTCCCTGGTTGACTTGTAACTATTGGATAGGATTTTCATTTCCCAGTTTCCTGCTCTAAATATTACCAATTTTCCCACTGATCATTTGCTTTAAAATTACACTTCCAGGTAAAGCCACCTGTTTGTAAGCATGGCTCACCCCAATCCAGCTTCCAAATGCACAAGAGAGCAAAGCTGAACTCCTCTCCTGTTCAGGGCTCACCTGCTCCAGGGACACGTTCCTACCCAGCAATGAGGAGGGCAGACCTGTGGGAGCTCTTCCTACCTTGTTATCCAGAGCAGCAATTTCCTGTTGACTGGCTGTGGACAGCAGAAAGGAATTCATCTGAGTTTTCAAGGTATCATCCACTTCCACATCAATGTCATAGCAAGCTGTTTTCTTCTGGTCATTTGGGTCAACACTAGGGGCATCCACAAGAAAGAAGCCAAAATAAGTGAGCAGCTCAAGAAAGCACCACATTGCAGCTACTGTAGGATGATGCAGCATATGGACTGCAGGCAGGGACAAGCCACGCTAGTGTTAGCTTCAGCTCTAACACCAAGCAGCAAAGCTCCACTGAGGGCTTTGCAGCACAAAGACCAAGTGATTGCTCCAAGCAGATTTCTATCTACAAAAGTGTAACGCAAAAGACAGCATGAACGTGGGAGTGCCTTGTGGAAAAGAGAGATGTGATAAACGAAAGAGGCGGCTGTTCTTGTACAAAGAAACAATGACAGGCAACACGGGAGCTACTGCTGAAAACTAGAACATACTACATCGTCTTCCCGTAGCAGCCTCATCCACCCTTTCCACTCTTCTTCCTAGAAAGATGAAGTGGACCAGTCTCACCTGATCACATGATTAATGATGATCGGTTCTGGGGGCATAAGCAACGCATGAAGTCTTTGTGGGATTTCAGAGAACTTCATCCGCTGAGATTCAAATATCTGTGACAGAAACACAGGGCTAAGGAAAGGAAGGGAAGCTCAGTGCCAGTGATCACTGGCTGCTGACAAAGAAAAGCTGAAACAGTGTCGTGGTTTAACCCCAGCCAGCAGCTAAGCACCACGCAGCCACTCACTCACTCCCCCTCCACCCAGTGGGATGGGGGAGAAAATCAGGAAAAGAAGTAAAACTCGTGGGTTGGCATAAGAATGGTTTAATAGAACAGAAAAGAAGAAACTAATAATGATAATGATAACACTAATAAAATGACAACAGTAGTAATAAAAGGATTGGAATCTACAAATGATGCGCAGGGCAATTGCTCACCACCCGCTGACCAACACCCAGCTAGTCCCCGAGCGGCGATTCCCCGCCCCCACTTCCCAGTTCCTACACTAAATGGGACGTCACATGGTATGGAATACCCTGTTGGCCAGTTTGGGTCAGGTGCCCTGGCTGTGTCCTGTGCCAACTTCTTGTGCCCCTCCAGCTTTCTCGCTGGCTGGGCATGAGAAGCTGAAAAATCCTTGACTT